TATATATACAATTATGAAAATTAGATGCTAAAAGCCTAGATAGATAACACAAATTTCTAATAGCATCACCGACCGATGGAGGTGTTTTATTTGCCAGTCCGGCCAGCTGTGCCCCTTTTCACAGCTAATTTTGTCAGTGACGCTATTAGAGCCTACATCTAAGAAAAAAATCTAGGAAAAAGTGTTCTTAAGTAGAATTAAAAATAATCTTAATTTGCTATATTAATTAAGAATATACCATAAATAGGAGAAAAGAAAGTAAGAAGATTCTCCTTTTCTGCTAGGGCGTCTTCAATTCTCTGTTCCGGCTAGACCAACCAGAAATTACCACCCCTTATTCCTATCGACGAGCACAACAGACTACGCTATGCACAATCCTTTTCGCGTGCTATGTAAAAATTACAATAGTTTGCATCACGTTTTCTCTACCGAACTTTCTCTACCCCTAATAAAATCGTTCCTTTCAGAATACCTTCGGGAAGTCACTGACCATTCCCAGCTCTGAGCAATCTTCTTACTTTCTTTTCTCCTATTTATGGTATATTCTTAATTAATATAGCAAATTAAGATTATTTTTAATTCTACTTAAGAACACTTTTTCCTAGATTTTTTTCTTAGATGTAGGCTCTAATAGCGTCACTGACAAAATTAGCTGTGAAAAGGGGCACAGCTGGCCGGACTGGCAAATAAAACACCTCCATCGGTCGGTGATGCTATTAGAAATTTGTGTTATCTATCTAGGCTTTTAGCATCTAATTTTCATAATTGTATATATAATGTATTGATTAATTAGGATAGACACTCGTTTTGTCGACCACTAATAAATAAATAAATAAATAAAAAAATAAATAAATAAATAAATAAATATTGTAATTATAAATGAAATAGTTGCAGGTATTTGTATGCAGATGTGATATTTTGATACGAAAGAGTTATACTCATAAAATTGTCGATGACATATTTTACTTAGGGCTCATCAAATAATTACAATTACTCCCAACTTTAACGAAATTGGTGCAATCAAAATACAGGAACTAATGGCAGGCAAGGGTTTTATTTCAATATCAATAAGTACGTTAAAAATCAGATAAGATTCCGTCTACAAGCTTATAAGTAGCAGTGCGGACTACAATCAGAAGGCCAACCAGTGGACGGTGCTCACCATGAACAACGCGTTCCTGAACATGTTAACGTCTAGTGTATTGGAAGACGATGGTTTCCACAGACTGACATTCTGGCGCAACCCAATGTGAAGCTCTTCATCACACACCGCGGCCTGCTGAGCACCATCGATAGTATCTACTTTGGCAAGCCGGTGCTGGGTCTGCCTGTTTTCTATGTTCAGCACTTGAATGTGGAGCGCGCTAAGCAGGCGGGTTTTGGCCTGGCCCTGGATCTTTGGACCATGACTGCCGGCCAATTGCATGATCAGGTTGTGCAGCTGCTCAGCAACTCCAGCTACACACAGGCAGCGCAGCTAAGGTCGAAGCTATTTCGCGATCAGAATGATACGCCGCTCGAACGCTCCATCTGGCGGACAGAGTATGTACTGCGGCACCACGGCGCTCAGCACCTGCGTTCAGCATCGCGTGACCTGAGCCTAGCCCAGCTGCATGGCCTGGACACATGGGGCCTGTTCTGTGGCGTCACATCGCTAATTGCCTTGGTGTTTGTATTTGTGATCTCGGCTCTGTTGAGAGTATTACGCTACATTCTATGTAGACATTGCAAGATCGACGCTAAACAAAAAATACAGTAGATCTCAATATAAATGGTAGATACTTAGTAAATATTAAAACTGAAAAGATATTGGAGATTACACGATTTATTTGTACTTAAATATTTCTATCAAATAACAATTCCTTAATGATATTTAACTTAAATACTTATTTGAGTTTCCTTTAGATTTTTAAAAATAAACAAGCCCATTTGAAACAGCCAATCTATTAATTGACTGTCAGTGAGAAAAAAACCAATTATAATAGCAGCACAGAAAACAATACAATCGCAATTGCAATGCTGCTGTTAGAATTCAAAGCACACGCTCATGAATGAGTGTGTGTACATGTATACAGATTTCATGGAATTTGCGCAAACACGTTGGCAGCCAAAACACCTTTTCTTTTGGTTTTTTCAACCGAACTAGATGAAATTTTCAGCAGTAGATCTTATTGTACTATAAAATATTCGTGTATTCTCAAAATGACAATTGCATTTAAATTGTGTCTTATATAGGCGGGCAGCATACATTTGTTTATTTAACTGCTTTATAGCTATGAGGTAGTGGCGGGGATTTCGATATCGATTTGTATCGATTACTTGGAAACGGGGCAAGTTATCGAATATCGGAAACAAACTCGATCTAGCTCTTAGGTTGTGAGATCCTTGCGTTCATACATACGGACGGACAGACAGACGTACATGGCTAGATCGATTCGGCTATTGATGCTGATCAAGAGTATATATACTTTATGGGGTCGGAGATGCTGCCTTTTGCTTGTTACATACATTTGCACAAATACATTTTTTATCATTTACCCATTTTCAATGGGTAATATGGTAATAAGAAATAAATACATTAAGTATATAACACATATTTTAAAAACGTGTTTAAATTCCCATATTTTAAATTCCATAAATAAATTCTTTATTAAAAGTGTTTAAAAGCCCGCTAGGGCGTATATATTTTAAGTGAAATTTCGTTAAATTTTCGATAAGGTCTGAAATTAATTATAACAATTATCGATAGATAGAGTAGTAGTATAAGTTAAATTCACCATCAGTAATATAAACAATTTACTCCTTCGTCTAACAATTACTACCGCAAAACGAACAATCATATATAACGGGCTTTAACAAATGAACATGACACAAGCTTTTTAACGGAGGCAGAGCTTAATTTAATAATGGGAGGCCGGAGACAGAGGCGTGTTGTGTGGCTCTCATACAAATGAATGCAATCGCCTCTATAAAATTTGTTATCGCATGCACGGCCTCTTATCTAAACCGAGCAATGTTTTCCATTTATCAAAGCCTATTTCACAAATTTAGTTGAATTTTAGATCTTGGAACTGACACACGAAATGTTCTCTCTACGGCTCTGCTGCCTCTTACCATTAGTTTTATTGCTGCCAAGTCTCCTTGATGGCGCACGGATACTTGCGATATTTCCCTTTCCGGGTCCCTCACAGTACATTAACGTCTTGCCCTATTTGAAAGGGCTCGCGGCGCGCGGCCACGAGGTAACATCGGTTAACGCTTTTCCCCAAAATAAGCCAGTGAAAAACTTTCGTGACATTGTCGTACCTGAAGTATTTCAATCCTACGAAGGTGCGTTGCAGTTTGATATGGTTCGTGTCGAGTTTTTATAATCTTAAACTTTGCTTATTTCAGAAATACTAATTTCCAGCATTGAAGCAAACAGAAATTTGTGGCAGGAGAACACAATGGCTAATGATTTTTGTATCAGCATTACAAAGAAAGTGTTTGAAAATGGCAAAGTACAGCGGGAGCTGTTACAGCCCGGCAAGGCTCAATATGATTTGGTCATTGTAGAAACCCTGCGTACCGATGCACTCTACGGTTTTGCAGCGCACTTTAACGCGCCCATTATTGGCCTCTCAACATTCGGCACGGATTGGAATGTCGATGAGTTGGTGGGCAATACTTCACCGATCTCATATACCCCACTAGTTACGGCGGGCTTGAGCGATCGCATGACCTACTGGGAGCGTGTGCGCAACTTCGTTGAGACCTCTATAGCCTGGCTTAATTGGAAACTGATGTATATGCCGGTGCAGAAGCAACTTTATGAGCAATACTTTCCACACGTCGCCCAAAAGAAGCCTTTGGTGGAGCTGAGCAAGAACTTTTCGCTGATATTGCTCAATCAGCATTTCTCGTTGAGCTTTCCGCGTCCATATGTGCCCAATATGATCGAAGTAGGAGGACTGCACATATCTCACACGCCGGCCCCCTTGCCCAAGGAGATAGAGGAATTTGTTCAGGGCGCCGGCTCAGCGGGTGTCATCTACTTTTCCCTGGGTTCAAATATAAGGAGCAAGGATCTTCCACAGGAGCGAAAGCAGATGCTGCTTCAGGCTTTCGCCAGTCTACCACAGCGTGTGCTCTGGAAGTTTGAAGACGATCAGTTGCCCAACAAGCCGGCCAATGTGTTCCTCAGCAAATGGTTCCCCCAGCCCGACGTACTGGCGCATCCCAATGTGAAACTTTTCATCACACACGGCGGCCTGCTCAGCACCATTGAGAGCATCCACCATGGTAAGCCCGTGCTGGGGCTGCCCTTCTTCTACGATCAGTTTCTGAATGTTGAGCGCGCTAAGCGCGCTGGCTTCGGACTGGGACTCGATCATAAAGAGATGACAGGCACGGAATTTAAGCAGACCATTGAACGTCTGATCAATGATCCGAAATTTTCGACAACAGCACAGCTAATGTCAGCTCGGTATCGCGATCAGCCCATGAGCCCACAGGAGACGGCCATCTGGTGGACGGAGTATGTGCTGCGCCACAAGGGCGCGTCCCATATGCGTGTGGCGGCGCAGGATTTGAGTTTTTTGGCTTATTATAGTCTCGATGTGTTTGGCATGCTCTTGGGTGTGGGCATATTAATTTTGGTTACGATTTGTTTTGTGCTATGGAAGCTGCTGTGCATCTTACGAGGTCAACGGGTATCAGGCACAGATAAATTGAAACATCACTAGTTTAAGCAATTTTATTTTCTATCAATTCGTTGCAAATAAAGAGATAAATTTTAAATTCGTTTTGTAGTATATTTCAATTAATTCACAAAAGCTCTTACCTGTCTAAATTATAGAGTTGCCAAAAATAATTGAATATATTGCATAATATTGGTTTACTTTATGTGGCATTGGCGGTTCCATATAAATATTACTCATTGCTATGTAGTTCATTATGATGGGGGTAACCAAAAATGTGCATTAACTGGTCTCCAATCAGCGGCATACGCGGCGTATGCAAATTGCAGGGCCACTTCCGTTGTATGTGCGACGCTTATTTTTGGCCGCAGTGCCAAATGCATAATCAAAAATTCATGAAGTATATGCGTTTTTATTTGTTGTTGTTGTTTCTCGCTGTCTGGCTGCTGTTATTGTTATTGTTGTTATTAGTCTTGCTGTAGCTGTAGTTGATATTTTCAATAAAAAGCTGTTGCTGGTGTTGGCGGCATGCAAATGTAAATGAGATCAAAGAATTAAAGCTGCTCAATTTACCGATTGATGCCTTTAAAAGCTGGCAAGACAGATACAGTGCAAATTTATTGATGTCCTGCATAGCGCTCGCTGAACTTTTAATGAGTCCTTGATTACAATCTAATGTGCACCTGTTTGCATATGCTAGACGTGCTCGGGCTAATGTAACACAATATTTTCAAATTTAAAAACATAAGAGGAACACCCAATTTACGAATTAAAATAAAATTAACAATTATCAAAATAATGCAGAGAATTTCAAATATTTTCTCTATATGATATGACATATGATATATGATATATGATATATATATATGATATACATATATGTCAAAATAATACGGATTATTGTAATGGTCGATGAGACCAACCAAGAAAGTAAACACAAATCCTCCACATATCGTTTACGACAAGCTTGCGTTTGTAATGTACCAACTGAAGCTTTAGCTTATGTGCTTGAAGCAAGTCGAGCCTTTGGAAGGTTGCACCGCTCATATATCTCCACATGGGAGCTTTATATGATCACCCCCAACTTCGTTGTCTCCCCTTGACCAAGAGGAGCATGAGCTTTTTCTTCGGAAAAAAAAAAATCGTATTTTCGAAAAACCAAACGAAAGAACGAGAAAGAAGGTCTATTTTCAGGACGCCGAAGATTTAATACCCTTGCAGACCCAACCTATTCATAATGCTAGTGCTTTGCGCGTATCTAAGAAGCCCAGGAAAAATAGTTAATGCCGATTATGATTAAGATATCTTAAAAAACAAAAAAATTTCCTATACAACAACAAAATTTTCGTACGATCGTTTCTATGGCAGCAATATGATATAGTAGTCCGATGTAAATAAGATTTTGCATAAATGGAGGGAGTATAAATACCGAATTTGGTCAAGATATCGTGAAAAACATTTAGTTTATGGGGTCGGAGATGTCTCCTTCTATGCGTTACACATTTCACGACAAAATTATAATAGCCTCTGCAAGGGTATAAAAAGAACAGGAAGATCAATACCATACCAACCCACAACTCATTAACTAAAGGGAACCACACCGTCCCCCAGCGTTGGAAGGCCTTTCACCGCATTTTCATGTAAGTGACCAACCACACTTCCTTCTTCCTCTGTCACATCTTTGTCGTTGCGTCGTCGAATTTGCATACATATATGATATATGACTAATAAAAAGAGCCATTGAGTAACAAAGAGTGACTTTTCAGCTCTGTCTCTATATTACTCAATACATATATAACGTAACGTAATAAAATAACAGCTAATCGGTAAAAATTAATCGTGTGTATGCTCAGAATGAGCTCTTGACGCTTCGAGCCCTTGCATAACTCGAAAGCTTAACGCGGAGACACGTACTTGAAACTGCTGATTTGCCTTGTGACCGTTCTTACTAAAATTATGCGCCCACAAATTTCTTTTTTTAAATATTTTAAAATAATTTTTTGGTAACGTAAGACTTTAATAACGATGGTCAATATATAAATACGTACCCCGATTCACGTTGTACAATTATACAACTGGCACGACATATGAAAAAGTAATAGTAATAATAACTTTAATTAAGGAACTATACGGAAAGATTGTAGTTTGTTTTTTTTGTTACCGGGCTTAGGAAAACAAACAAACAAGCAATGAAGTATATACCTTTCGTTAATAACCAAATAATTATGAAAAATTAATTCGGTTACAAATCGCTTCTAGCTAGTACTATATAACGAATGTTCAACATTAAAAATAAATTTAAAATTTAAAGAATTAACAAACAAAAAATAATACGCTGTAAGTTAGGGTTTGGTTTCTTTTTGTCCACATTTGGTAGGTTCAAAAGGAAGTTTAGCTTCCCCAATTTAGATTCAGCACGGACTCTATAAGAATTAAGTTAATATAACGGCGGTCTTCGGACACAGCAACCCCACCCCACTGACTGTCTGACTGACTGACTGATTGGTGATCAACGCACAGCCCAAACCGTACGAGCTAGGAAGCTGAAATTTTCACTGTAGTTACCTTATGTGATGAAGGTGTACTTACAGAAGGGGTTTCGGGAAATTCCACCCGCAGGTGTGGCAAAATCGAGAAAAAAGTTTGTATGAAACTTTTTTGATTACCATCCGATCGGTCTTAAACTCAATTTCAAAAATCTTTGATCAAATTCATTTGAGAGGGCTTCACACTTTTTCAAAAATGTATTCCTCCATGGTGGAAATGGGGGTCAAAGATTTGGTGGATGAGGTTTCGCGGTCAAATTTATTTTCAAGGATCTATATGAAAAATCATTTCAGACGTTTTTCACATTTTTCGCAGATTCAAAGCATCCTCCTAAAAAGTGCGATTTCAAGACTTTTTTGTGCGAAGTTTTTAGTTGTGTCCGATTTGCTTCAAAATTATTTTTAGAGCTCTACATAAGAAATAAATACGTGTTTCAGCGATTTGGGAAATACCACCTGCAACAGTGGTAAATTGGGGAAAAACGTTTGTACGAAACTTTTTTGTTTACCATCCGATCGTTCTCAAACACATATTCAAAGATCTTTGTGCAAGTTCATCTAATGGGTATTTCACATTTATTGGAAAATAAATCCCTCCTTGGTGGAAATGGGGGTCAAAGATTTGGTGGTTGGCGTTTCGCCCTCAAATTCATATCCATGGATCAACATAAGAAATCATTTGAAACGTGTTACACATTTTTGTCAAAATCAAAGCTTTCACTGTGGAAAGTGCAATTTTACAATTATTTTTGTGAAGTTTTAAGTTTTGTCCGATTTGGGCTATACCCGATAGTTTAGTATATAAGTATTTTCCTAATTGATTTTTTACGGTAGCTAGAAAGCAAATAGAAAGAAGTTTTCAGGTAGTATGTTTTAATTGGTTCTAAAAGCTTCCGCTTTTAAAACTGATTTGTCTCGCCAGCAACATTAATTTTAGTCTGTAACCCCAGTAAAAGTTTTTTATTTTAAGTCGTGAACATTTTTAAAATCAACGTAAAATTGCATTAAATGAATTCCCTCTGTTTGTATACTCTTATAGAGGGCATGACATGTGTAACGCATAATAGAGGGCATCTCCGACCCCATAAAGTATATATTTTCCTGTTCAGCATCAGCAGCCTCTTTGTTATTGCATGTCCGCCTGTCTGTCGGTCTAAAATTATGTTCTTGTGTTAACAACGTTTTTGCTTTTCAAGAACATTTGACCAAACCTGGCATTTATTAGATTTACTTTGCTCCAAATAGCCAAATCTTATTAAAATCGTTTTTTTTTTAAATTTTTATTTATGTTTTTATTTATTTTGCCAAGGCCGCGCTCTACTAAATGGACGAAGGTTAAGTAAAATCGTATTACTATATCATAAAACTCAATAGGAAGAATCTGTCGAAAATTGATATTATGTATGACATTTTCTGAGAATATATTTGCTTTATTATTCTCCTCCCATATTTGCAAAACCTTAAGCCAAAAGTTTAGAAGGGTAAATTATCTTCTCTAAAGCTAAAGATTCAAAAATAGTTTGCCTACCAGATGGGAGTGCCAAATAGGAAAAAATCGATATAAGTAAGCTATTATTGGGCTGTGAAGCGCATTTTCGGCATTTTTAGTTTATTCTTAATTCAAATCTTTCAATTCAAATCTTGCATGTAATCATATGGATAAGAGTAACATTGTCATATTTCAGTTAGAAGCTCGGAAACGGAAACAGTTCATCCCAAACTTTGAAACGTTCTTCGTGAATATTGCCATTTTTCGCCGTTAGATTGATATCAATTTCTAAGTACGCTTGATCATGGGAATTGTATAAAGGCCAATGAAGGCCGCGTAAGTATTCATCAGTTGCATTGTGGGGATCGCTAATAGAATGTTATAAGAATAAGTATTGAGAAAAACAATTGTTTTCATTTATATTTACCCCTTTCTGGCGAACTCAGTCCACATTCGTGTGAGCCGTTCAATAAGCAAATTCTCGGGGTCGCTCTGTTTGAGGAGAGGAGTTAGAATCGGAACGTGAAACAAGTACAAGAGTTCGTCGTGATGTACGGCACCTGGAAAAATAAATTGTCTTAGCCTTTCTCCTATATTTTTATGCTCTCAAAAGTTACCAAAAGTTTGATTGGTATCGGGATGCTTCAGGAAGCTGTAGCGCCCCTTGTAGCGAAAATAGTACGTGTATATGGGTGTATGGGAGGACATCAGGCGCATAAATCGATGGTACTCGACGCCTATGAGGGCATCACTATAGAGCCTGCCCAGGCCTTGCAGGGATCCCGGATTCTCGATGCAACCACTGCCCAGATACTCGTTTCGTAGCACAGCACTGGCCTGCCGCGAGTGGGGCGTGTCCCGCTCGAACAGCAGCGCTATGGGTGCAAAATGCTCCCAGTTAGCATTCAGCTTTTCGCGTATGCTGTCATTGCGCAAATCAACTGTAAGGTGGAACGGATTAGCATGCATAACGCTGCGACTACACATACTCACAGAATGCGCCCGAGAGAAACTCAAACTCGGTGATGCCCGTGATGAGAGGCACCTTGTAAAAGTGTCCACTCTGAGCCGTTTTGTATGGATCCTCGAGCAGAAAACGCTCCTGACCAAAGTCCTGTTCAATGACTGGAAGCCAGTTGAGCACTGGATTCCAGCCAATCTCGAACATGCCGTTGTAGGAGCTAACAAAGTCCTGCATGGGTTTCTCACGCAGACAACTGACCAAATCCTTAACTGGCTGCTCTGGACAGTTCAGGAGACGTGCCTGGCGCTGTGCCAGCTGCACATCCGCCGTCTCATATCCCCACTGGCCATAGGGCGAGGCACTCATACAGATGCCACGATGGAACAGACCCCGCGACATCGGCGACAACATGTGCAAGCCGATGCTCAGGCTGCCCGCACTGTAACCCAGCAGCGTCACCGACTGAGGATCGCCGCCAAAGCGATGGATGTGCTGCTGAATCCAGCGCAGGGCCAGTACCTGATCCTTGAGTCCAGCATTGCCGGGGGCATCTGCACTGCCTGTGGCTAGGAAACCGAGGCTCCCCAAACGATAGTTCAGTGTGACCAGCACACAATCGCGATCCATCATATGCGCCGGGCCGGCAAAGTATTTGCTCTGGCCAGAGAATACATAGAATCCACCGGGATGCAGAAACACAATGACTGGCAGACGAGCAGTTGCGTTTAGATTTTTCGTATACACATTCAGGCGGAGACAGTCCTCTGACACATCTGTCATATTGTCCCACGGCTGCGGGCACATGGGTCCGTCCTGTTCAGCATCGAAAGTAGCCGGTGCCCAGGCATTAACTGGCTGTGGATTTTTAAAGCGCAACTCAGCCAGTGGCGGCTCCGCATAGCGTATGCCGCGAAAAGCATGAAACGGCAAACCCAGTCTCGATGTCAGATTGACACCACGTATGCGGCCTAGCTGCAAGTCAACCTCAATGCCCAGCACAGCGCTGCAGGACAGCAGCCAAGCGATTACCGCGAAGCTGAACATCTTGCGGCTCAGCGTACACTGATACTGCGTGGAATCAAGTGCAGTGTTGTATATTTATAGATTTTGCATGTGATTCCCGCAACGCCATGCGGGGCTTTGCCCAGAAGTTACTTAATGCCAGATTCAAAAAAAGCCACAAAACAGCAGAGATTCATACAGCTGATATACACTGGTCGTCGGTTGTATGCGTACAACAGAAAAGAAAAAACTTTTGCTTTAATTTATTTAAACAAAAGTCTGGTTGGGACCTGTCTAAAAATACTTGCAACAGCTTTTTTTATGACAAAACAACAATAGAATAATATTAAATTGTTTCTGGAGTTGATCCGGCGACTACCCGCTTGTTTGTACGACGCTCAGATACACAAGCTAATTAGTCTCACAACTCCACTAAGTTGTTTTAAATGCGTTTTCTAGAAACTATTAAACTTGGTGCTCACCTTCGACTCAAAACGAAGCTTTAGTAAAAATTCCGTTCAGTCAGTCACGATAGACTTTTTTATAAATACATTCCTAGGTTCAGTTACAAATTGGAAACTTTAACAAGAGCATTTTACCAACCACAAAAACACGATGGTTGGATGCATAAGACAAACTCCAAATTGTTATATTGTACAATTTTATATATATATATATAAATATTTTATATATATATAGTTGCCAATTTCATCTTTTCCCTGATCAGTTAACGAATATTTGAAATATTATAATTTTGAAAACTCATCGCTAAACCGCATCAACAGAAAACCTTGAAACAACAACTACCACAACAAAAACAATAATAACAACAGTTGCCTGTTTTTTCGCTGGCACTTTTTAGCAGCCTGTTATTTTTGCTATTGTTTTTTAGTTTTAAACATTTTTTTTGTATATTTCTTGCTTGCAGTTTTAATGCGGCCGCCACCATTACAGCCGCCAACATTTCCGGCGCGGACGCTGATTTTCCAGCGCGACCATGGCCCAAAACAGTTTCAATAAGTTCGCTAAAACTTTTACACGCCTCTTGGTCCCCTTCCCGAGCGTACAGCACCCCAGCAATGCCCGTTCGGGTAACAACTGTAGAAAAAAACACGGCGAAGAAAATAAAAGCGCTGAGCGTAGGCGGACATTTGTGCAGGAGCGTGGGCGTGGCCATGCCACTGTTGGGTTCACTGTTGAAAATTTGAGCGCGCTGATGGGCATTTTTACAACTGAAGCGTTAACTATGTGCAACTAGCCAAAGAAATAAACAAATAACGGGGAGAAAAAAAGCAGTGAACAAAAAATAAAGTAATAGAGCAATAAAAAAACAAACAAAAAAATACAGGGCCTCCCACGCACAGCGAAGAGAAAATCGTCGATAGCTATACAAAATATTTTCGATTTTATTTTACAAGTTCGGCGCCGGCAGCAAAACTAACCGCAACTCGCACTGAAATTTTTATGAGCTCAAGCAGAAGCAAAAGCGTAACATGCGGCCCATACACATACAGATACCACTTACAAAATACAATATAAACACGTCTTAGGGCTTAAGCTTTGTTTTTAACTCAATTACGCTTCAATTTCGGCTGTTTCTGCTGGCGACCCACAAAGATGTCCTGCAGGGCGCGCCACACGCGGCGTATAAGCAATACCAGACAGTAGAGCACAAACAGAATGCCGCCGTAGAGAATCAGAATGGCATCCAAATTGTGATACTGCACAAAGTTCAGGTCCTGTGATGCACTACGCAAGTACATCGCACCCTTATGCCTGGTCACATGCTCCACCCAGTAGACGGCACGCTCCAGAGGCAATTGCGGTTGATCCTTATAGCGAGAGGACATGCCCTCGACCAGTTGTTTGGCATGCGGATTCTGCACGAGCTGCTGAATAGCCTTGTTCAGCCGCTCGGCAGTTAGCTCCTCATAGACAACAGTCCGGCCATAGCCATTCTGCTCGGCACGAGCCATATTCAGAAACTGATCGCCGAAAATAGGAATGCCCACAAAAGGTTTGCCATGATAAATGGATTCTGTGGTGCTCAGCAAACCGCCATGTGTGATGAACAAGATGACATTTTCATGTGCCAAAATATCGTCCTGCGGGAACCAGTCCGAGATGAAGACATTCTCCGGTTTGCCGGGTAAATTGGGCTCCTCGAATTTCCAAAGCACACGCTGCTTGAGCTTGCTAAATGTTTCAATCAGTGCCAGACGTTTCTCCTGCGGCAGATCCTTGCTCTTCAAGTTAGAGCCCATGGAGAAATAGATGACGCCATGCTTGGCACCTTTAATGAACTCTTCAATGTCTTGCGGCAGCGGCTGACGCTTGCGATTGATGTGCATGCCGCCTACCTCGATCATGTTGGGCGAGTAGGGCCGGGGGAAGCTCAGCGAGACGTGCTGATTGAGCAGCACCAGTGCCGTGTTCTTGCGCATGTCATAAAAGTCCTGCTTATTCTGAGGGAAGTACTTGGTATAGAGATGCTCTTGCTTTGGTAAATAGTACAGCTTCATAAACAGATACTCATAGGTAAGAAAGGCCAAATTGATAACACGCTCGGTCAGGGTCATATGATCCGAGAACTTGAGCAGCGCATGCGGCACATAGGAGGGTGGCGAAGGCGACCCAACCTATCAGAAGGTAAAGTGTGAGTAAAGCCTCTAAAGGTTCACATGCATAGGGCCACCTACCAGATCTGTGTTCCAACTAATGGCTCCAAAGGTGCCCAGTCCAATGAGTGGCGCTTTGAAGTGTTCCGCCAGACCAAATTGGGCCTCATTCAGGAACACCTCACTGATGACAGCATCAAAGGTCTGGTTTGATTGTCGCAGCTGAACCACGAGCGGCTCCTTAAGTAATGCTTCAGTTATGCGAAGGCCTTTAATATATAAAACAATTAAATTAATATAAACACTAAGTAACGATCAATAATTATATTTTGTGAGCTCACCCATGTCATAGAATCCAACAATTTGTTGTATAATGGGCTGTTCTGAATTTTTCAATAAACTGTCCTTATCGCCTGTAAGGTAAGAAAATATGTTTAGAAGAAAATATGTTTAAAAGGGCATCGATTACTTCTTGCCAAAATATATATTTGGAGTAGCTTTTTGATAAATGGTATATTTTTCTCAATACGAACTGGATCTTGACATACCAATACGAACGAAAAAACAGGGTATAAATGTATGTACGATCATTAACAGTATATTAATGCGTACATATATATAAATACTAAGTAGATAGGCAATCGCGCCGATCTAGACCTATTTCATCAAGTACACGATAATCTTGGCAACCGTAACCGCTAGGTAAACTATTACAAAGAATAAACATAGCCTCAAATAAAACGAAATTCAAGTTTAATCACATTTCTGATGTGTCTCCAGTTTCTAGCTGTCGATTTTCAGCCAAATTACATATATTTCAAATATCGTGTCAGAATTTCTGGATGCTTGATAACAACAACTCACTTGTATATATTTTTTTTATTTAAAAAATTTTTTATTTTTATATGCCATCATATTGGCGTATAGAAAAAAATGAAAAAATAAATTTGTATTCTTATTTGTTGAAAAATGAGCCATTTACATTGCTCAGTTTTCATACAAAACTTATGCAACTGCATTTAGCGATTATTGTTTAATTAACAACCTGATACGATAGATTGCATATTGCTCGATTTGATGACGAAATAACGATTATAAAGCCAGCTCTACTGGCGTTTACTTACCCTCCATAGCTTTCAAGACGTTCGGCAGCGGCATATCGTTAATATTCTTAATTGGTTTCTTAAGTGCGAAGGGTGAGACGAGGGTCACCTGATGACCAGCTGCCGCCAGGCCCTTGGCCAGTGCCGAACCCACATTGTAGTGCGAGCGTGCGGAGGTGGGTAGCACCAACAGGTAATTATAGGCCGCCACGCTGCTCAGCAGGCACAATAGCGTAAGACCTATGAAACTGGTTTTGTTGCTTAATCGCGTCATTCTAAATGTTGTTTTTTAATCACAGTAGTGAAATAATAATATCAATTAATTTTGTAACTTAAAATTCACATTGAGCACCAGTTATACGATCTATTCCATGCGCGATCCACACGTTTTGCTAACTCGTTTCAAACTAATGAAATTCTCACACAAATTCGGTAAATATAGCGGCTGGCTGCCCAAGCAGTAATCAAGCCATGGCGACTGTTCGAGCACCCTACGCTCAGCTCATTTCTGGGTACGGGCATGTTGTTTCATCAGCATGTGCCAAAAACTGTTATTCAATCGGTTTATAATTTAATCGCATAGCGAGATATACTGATATGATATGGTATTATGTGCATACTTAAAGTGTTTGCATGCATATATGTATGTAGTGTATTTGCTTATCATGCCGCGTGAGTTTTTTTTCCTTTATCAGTTCTTTTGCGTTATTTCAAGTTTGCTTTGCCCTGTCATTCGTGATTCGATGCGTGCCGGTTTTATATGCTCATAGAAATATATGTATGTATGTATGTATATATTGTACTTTGTTGCTTTGCAAGCCAGACGAAAAACATGAAATTAATAAATTCACTTGTTTTACTCTCAGGAGTCAGTGACTGATAATAATGATTGATATCTACATACATATGTACATATAAATTTATAACTATTTAGGAATGTAGTCAGGCGAAATTGTTTATATTTTAATGAAATAACAGCTAGTTTTGTGTAACCGCTCTCATATATGTACATGTGTATGTTTGTATGTATATTCAATCTTAACAGTTCTTATATTGAACCTATAGTATATTTTCTCTTAGAACACGCTCTTATTTGCTCTTTTAACTGACCGGCATGTACATACATACATATATGTTTTCAAATCTTTAAGTGCTGGGAAAACATGAAAAATATTAACATATTTATCATAATATTGAAAACGCATATACACACATAAGTGAATTGTTGAATAAATGTAGGGGTTTTTTTTTATTATTAGATTCATATAAGTATTTTGTATTATATAAAAAACTTAAAATTTTTTTATTATACTTCTGTGATCTGCAATAGTATGTCATGGAAACAAATTTTAAATTTGATAGAATACTGCATAGTGTTTTTCAAATGAACCATTTGTTAGCCTTACAAATCTAAACAATTTAAATTTCTTAGGATCCAAAATAATTTTTGGTCCAATAAACCAAAATTAATTTTGTTTCACTTTTGTAGATTTTCCAGCTAATTTTCTACCAACGAGCCTTACAAGAGCCGCCAGGCAATTAAAAACAGCGAACAGAACCAAAAATAATGCTCCAATGATCATTAATAAAACATCCAAATTATGGTATTGTATAAAGCTCAGATCCTGGGCAGCGCTTCTCAAGTACCTCGCGCCCTTCTGCCTAGTCACATGCTCCACCCAGTAGACGGCGCGTTCCAGCGGTGTTTCGTGCTGATCCCGGAATCTGGAGGACATCTCACGCACCTGCTGCGTGTAGTTGGGATTAGTGAGTATTTTATTTATGGCATTCCGGAACGTCTCGGTTGTCAGTTCGGAATATGGTACTGTAACTCCATAGCCAACCTGTTCAGCACGTGCCATATTCATAAACTGATCACCAAAGAAGGGAATGCCCAAGACGGGTTTTCCATGGAAAATGGACTCCGTTGTGCTCAGTAGACCTCCATGCGTAATGAATAAGATGACATTCTCATGCGCCAAAATGTCGTCCTGCGGGAACCAGTCCGAAATATAGACATTATCTGGCTTGCCAGGCAAATTGGGCTCCTCAAATTTCCAAAGCACGCGCTGCTTGAGATTCCGGAACGTTTCCACAAATGCCTCACGCTTTTCCAGCGGTAAATCTGAGCTCCTTAAATTTGACCCCAGGGAAAAGTAGATGACTCCGTGTTTGGCGTCTTTGATGAAATCCTCGATGTTCTGCGGCAATGATTGGCTCTTGCGATTGATGTGCATGCCGCCCACTTCGATCATGTTCGGAGCATAGGGTCGGGAAAAGCCCAGGGTGATGTGATTATTGAGCAGCACCAGCGCCGTGTTCTTTCGCAGGTCGTAGAAGTCCTGCTTGTTTTTGGGAAAGTATTTCTTATAGAGTTGCTGTTGCTGGGGCAAGTAGAAGAAGTGCTGGTAAATCAGCTCGTAAGCCGTGAAGATTAGGTTGTGAGCGCGCTCGAAGAAGCTCATGTGATCGCTGAAATGAAGCAGAAAGTTGGGCACATAGGAGGGCGGCGAGGGCGTACCAACCAGCTGCGTGGTCCAAGTAGAAGCTCCAAAAGTGCTCAGACCTATCAGCGGTGCCTGAAAGTGTTCGGCAAAGCCAAAGTGCGCCTCGTTCATGAATACTTCGCATATGACCGCGTCGAAGGTGCGATTCTGCTCCATTAGTCTCTGCACCTCAGGTTCCTCCATCAAAGTTCGGGTCAGCTTGAGGCCCATGGCATGCATAACAGGCAGGCGGAATACTAAAGGTATTTTAGCAACGTCCAGAATTCTGGCTTTGTTAACTGGAATGTTAAACAATCCATTAATTTCATCGATTGTGAAAGAAAGAACCTTGATTTTGTTTTGCACGTCTATCATTATCAGGCGGTGAATAATTGATAACAGTTACGTGACTATCCACTGTAAAACCCATTGATACTTACCAGCCATGGCTGTTATAATGTTCGGGGCTGCCACATCCAGGTAGTTCTTAATAGGCTTCTTCTGTGGAAACGGCGAGATTACCGTGACCTCATGGCCGGCGGCAACCAGACCCTTGGCCAAAGCCTGACCGACATAGAAGTGCGACTTGGCCGCAGTGGGCGATATCAATAGGAAGGAGTAGCTCCAGACATGGCCCAAACTGGCCAACAACAGTAAGAATAGATGAAGCAGCTGCATCGTGATATTTTATTTGTATGTTGCCTGCGGACCTCTGCCTGAGTTCTATAATTTTTACGAGTTGTCCGGCCTTTTATTAGTTGTGTTTCGACAATTTACTATAACAGATACGCACAAACTTTTGGCTGGATCGGAAAATGGTCTAAAAATAAGAGAGCTAGAAATCGGATCGGCAAATGGTCTAAAAGAGAGAACTAGAAATTGAAAGGTACTCACATAGTTATGTGAAGAGCACTTAAGTTGACCAAATTTGAAATTCTACATTCTCTTCACTTTTCAGAGTGTTCCGTACGTATTATACAAACTACGAACTCTAAGGCTGACGTTAAGAGTGTTCTTGTCTTGAGTGCTCGGCTAGGAGACACACTACACCACCTGCTTCTAACACAAAATACCTTAACTCAGCTGTACAATTTATTTTGCCTGTTTAATGGGCAAAGGGATATTATAGCATTAATAAAAATTACTGAAATAAAAACTATATTTAGTTTCTCCTGTCCGTGTCGCACCTACAACTACCTCCAGCCGCCCGAACTGCGTGCTCATACCTCACAACCGTAACATGGAAATAACTGATTTAAAATAGCGGCACATACAGAGCACAGCATACAATACAATTGCAAATGCAGTTCTATTTATAGAGTGCCAAAAAGGCACGCATATGAAAGTTTGTGTGAACATGTATATATGTATAAGTTCTTGCTCTGCGTTTTCTGCCAATATAACCACACATTTTCTTTAATAACTTCTGTGAATCTCAGCCGATTTTAAATATGATGTAGATCTTATTGTGCTATAGAACAATCGTGTATTCGCATTAAGACAATAGCATCAAAATGTTTGCTTTAATTAATTGTTCTTACCCATTTCCATGGGTTAATGGTATAAAAACACTGTTATGTATCATATATCATGAACTTCATTAACAGAACGCGCTTAGAGATTTTTTGATGAATTTTGTTCACTGATTTAGAGATGGGTATGGGCCGTGTTCTTTCTGTGGTATTTCGCAGAACTAGGGGCGCATGCTGCAAAGCTCTATTTTGAGCGTGCTCCCTACGGATCCCGATCCCCACGTAATTTTTGACAGGTTTCTTTTGTGGAAACGGCGAGATCGCCGTGACCTCGTGACCTGCGGCAACCAGACCCTTGGCCAAAACCTGACCCACATAGAAGTGGGACTTAGTCGCTGTGGACGATATCAATAGAAAGGAGTAGCCCCAGACAAGGCCCAGACTGGCCAATAGCAGTAGAAACAAATGAAGCAGCTGCATCTTGATATTTCATTTTTACGAGTTGTCCGGCCTTTTATTAGTTGTGTTTCGACAATTTTTGATACAAACAAACAAAAACAAACTTTTGGCTGGATCGGCAAATGGTCTAAGAGAGAGAGAGAGTCAACCACAGGAAGGTTCTCTCTAAGTGTGTGAAGTGCACATAACTTGGCCATATTTCGAGACGTTATATAAACTCTTTACTGCTATTATTTTTGTAAGAACCTTATAAAATTAGAAAAAACATCATTTCATTCCGTGAATTTAATTGCTTGGGGATTGGTTGAAATATTATTTTCTTTGATGAATTTATTGTTCATAAAATGGATAATTCAAAATATACTTTATAACATTCAAATTTGTTTGTAATTCTTTTTCGACCACGCAGCGCTTGGCAGCCTAAAAATAGATGCTAATATAAATGTTAGCTTCCACAATGGAGCCCTATTGGCAAACTCAGACTACAATCGCCCACAAACATTGTAATAGGCATTGTTATGTTTGAAAGCTATCAACCCAAAACAGAACACGTGCCCGCTGATTGATTTCGAAATAGAATGTCAACGAAAACAGACAGAGTTTAAACGCAGACGAGGGAAAGAATTTAAATAAGCAGCCGAGCATAAAATTAAACAGAATCACGGTCCCATTGAAATCTACATACACGTTCAGTGCGAAATAGCGCTTCGAGGTGCAAAAGCCCGAAATGAAGGAAATGAAATGCCAAAAAGACAAAGTTTCCGTTTCCTCATACCTATGAGCGTGCGTGGGAGTGAGTGTGTGTGTCTGTGTGGGTGTGTGTGTGTGTGTGTGCATTGACATTGAAAACCAGTAAGGAGCAAAAAATATGAAAATATACGTTATGTGAGCTAAAAGTTAGCTACGCATAAAACTTTTCTGATGGCGGACGCTGAAAGTGAAAAGCAAATTTTTGCAAAAGTCGCCGAAATTCACAGTAAAAACTGTAAGATATTCCTGAGGGTGTCGGGAATTGGGGTAACTTGCAAAAGAATATGAAATGACAAAAAATGCGAAATGAAACGGAAGTTCAAGCTCATTTGTTTGCAGGCAAAGTCACAGCAGCAGCAGCGGCAGACATTTTGAAGCGGAAGCGGAAGCTGCGTTTCAATCGTGCGCCTGATGAAGTTACCAGCAGCAACAAAAGTTACACCACACATCCACACACACTCACACGCACACACACACGTACGCCACGCTCCGAGCTTATGTGTAAGCACAAATAAATTTAGCATAACAATACTTGGCAATTTGTATATTAGCAGACGTCAACGCGGCGTATGCGTATTATGCTTATGATTTCAATATAATGCCCATAAATTTGGCCAACTTTTAAAGTATTTTTGCGCACTCACGAATGTGAGTTTATGTCCCCATCCTATTTGAAGCGTTTGCCGCAAATCTTGGGCTCATTCCATATTCATTGTCATGATTCATGGCCAGACACTGCGGCCTTAATGGTGCAGTAACGTAATTAAAAAAAAACGCATTGCGGGGACAACACTTTATATTTTGGTTTTTGCTGATATATCTCACACACACATATACGCACTCTCACACATGGAAATGACAGTTGCAGCAGCACAGTGAAAATATCCTCGAACTGGGAAGCTCAGCCATTCGGTTCTCTCTCTAGCGCCTGCCAAGGGGTGGCCATTGACTGCAGCAGTAGCGTGCAAATTGATTGCGATTGTTGAGTTGATTGGCAGGCGAAATATGCACACATGCAGTCACACTCACACACACATGCAGACCGTATGACTGTATGCGACACTTACAAATAAAAAAAAAACAGCGCTTTGTGGTTTTCATTGTATTTTTTTTTTTTTTTTGCAGCTCGTTATTTTTTTTCAACCATTTATTTTTGCTTGTCTTCCAAATTAAGTTCGTTTTACCATTGCATTTTTTTGGTTTTCTTGTATCTCGTTTTTTTGCGGATGCTTTTAACACGCATAATTTTTAGGATAACAGATAGTTTTCTCTTTACATGTTAATTTGCGGTGTTTGTGCTTAATCAGACGAGTAGAGCTACTTTATGAGCACAATTTCATATACTTATTTTAAGTCCAAAAATGTTGCCTACCGCATATATATTTAAATAAGCCGTATTCTAAATATGCTTTGAATATTTGCAATAAGTTCGCTTCAGATTTAGAGGGTAATACAAAGCAGATTCAAGCTTACATTTTTAGGAAAATTAACGGTTGTATGGACAATCTTCCAATTATTCCAATAACATATTCCAAAAGTAATCAGCAATAAAAGCAGGCAATATCATTAATTAATATCTAGTACAACTTAAAGTCTTTTTCATTGAAGACTTCAAATATGATATTAACAATACAAAAATATTTATATTTATCTGTATATAAATGCTGCACAATTGTTGTAAATAAGATGAACACACGATGCCTAGAGATAAGTGCCAAAAATGATTTCAGTTAAGACCAGTTGGCTTAATGGCTAGTTGACATATTAAGTACTTTATAGCTTAGGCCCTCAGTGGCCCGACCAGCGGCAACAAAAAACCATCAAATTAGCCAATAGGCGTCTTGCCAAAGTTTTCAAATTGCGACTGCGTCTGACCAGCGGCAACTACGATACTAACCTAAGTTAAGATCGAGCGCGTGCCAAGTGGCCTTTGCTTCTTTTTTTATTATATTTTGTTCTCTTTTTTAATAATTTTTGGCGCACTTTGAAATATTAAAATTAATAATAAATGTTGACGGACCTTATTTGTTTTAGTGTTTGTTTTTGTTTTTGTTGCTGTTACACAAACGTGTTGTCTTCATTATGAGCAACGCCGCTTCTGCCGACTGTTCCCCTGGAGACCGACCCTAATGTATTCATGCCACTTACCTCTCATTTCTCTCTCTCTCTCTCTCTATCTCTCTCTCTCTCTCTCTCTATCTCTACCGCTTTCTCTGTCGCCGACTGAGATTTTTATTTCGTTTGGTCATTTGTGTATTTGGCTTTTCCTTTTTTCAATTTTTTTTCTTGTCATTTCAACTCTCATTCACTTCGTTTTTCTGCCAAATTAAATTTTATTTAACTGTTATGCATGAAATTGGTAACGATTTTTATGGCATTTTTATGTTTCATTGTCTCACACACACAGACGCATAGATAAAATTGCAGCTAATTTATTTTTAAATTATTTAACAATTTTGAACTGTCAGCCGCTGCTGGCGCCAACTCGGCAAGCGAAATACTTGTACGGCTGCCAGAACAATCTAATTAGATACTGCTACGAGCTGGAGAAGTTTCGGTCCGAGGCAGACACTGAGGCTGACGATGATGCCAATGCCGATTTGCTTTATGCCACTTGCCTTGGCAACAGTTGTCGTTTATGGATGCCAAAAGAAATTTTGGCAGGCCAACCATCCAGGGAGAGGGTAGACAAATGGGTTGGCTGGGGGCGAGATATGGGTGTGCTTAGGTTTCTGCTAAAATTAGCTTCAGCTAACTGTCTTGGCTAATAGTTTTTGCCTGTATGCATAATTGTGCAAAACACATAAATTCAGTTGTTTACTGCATTAGTTGACGATGGTTTTACAAAAAAAGAATAGAGGTTGGTAATTTTATTGAAAGTTTAAAATGTGGCATCTAATAAGAAAACTTTTGAAATTAATTGTTAGTTATTCAAACCAGATATTAATGATCTCTCAATAATTTTATTTAATCATCAAAAGTTAAGTTTAACAACAAATGATTTGTAGTTGATAATTTTTGTAAGTATTGGTTTTGACAGCAAAATCAGTTACGAAGAAAATGGATAGTAGTTGACAAAAAGAAAATAAACGCTTTCAGATTGGACCATGCTAATTGTCATAATTACTTTTGAGAAAAGTTAAGACATTTTTTGGATCTAAAGCTGCTTTATCAGCTTATCAATATACACACATATATATCCCACTCCTGCTTTGTAGCCTGCTTGTTTTTTGGATTGGTATCTTAAGTGTTAGAGCTATATCCGAGTTTAAGTTGTGTCTGCGGCTGGCTTAAAAGCATGCAACGATTGCCTGTTGGCCATAAAAGCCATTTATAATGAAATTATAAAATTTACGCTTGGTGGCTGCGGCAGCGAGCACTTGTCAGGCTATTGGCCTGAGCTGGTTGTGGTGCTGGTATTGGAGCTTTGACTTGGGCCTGGGTCGGCGACTTGCATCAACTCAATTGCCAATTAAAGTGCATCAACATTAATGCTGGCCATGATAATGACGATAACGAGCCGCCGTCGGCTATTGCACGTATGGCAGCAACAACAAGGCGGCAGACACAGGGACAACAAAAGCGGATGGCAAGTAAAAAAAAAATAAAAAAACGAGAGATGCACAGACAGTGCGGAAAAAGGGAATGCCCATGATTGCTTCTGAATCTGGCGTTGACTATGACTACGCGGGCGCTTCTGTGGCGCTGACATGTCGCCCGCAATGTCGTGGTCCATGTCGTCCTTGTTGGCCTGACGTCTGACGGTAAATTAAAAAGCATAAAGCTCTCGGACAAGCAAGCTGCATGCAGTGCGCACAAAACGGCAGCACGAAAATTTATGCACGACTTGCATATTAAACGTGTGTTAATTTTAGAGCAGCCAGCAGCTATGATGCCATCTCACTCCCGCTCCCGTTACCGTCCCCGTTCCCGCTCCCAATCTCTCGCACTGCCACCCCGCTGCCATCCTGTGGCTATTGCTGTGCGTTTTCACAAAGGCGCTGTCAATTTTCATTGCACGGGACGGCGTCCAACGCGTTCTGTTCAAATGGCGCATGAAACGTCATTCTGAGACGGCCCTGACTGACATTTGTGGTCATCATTGTTGTTGTTGTCGCGTTTGCCTCAAGTGCACACACTACAATGCATATATGTGTGTCCGTGTGTGTGTGTGTGTGTGCTAAAAAGTAAGTGAGCTCCACTCTCGACAGATTTCAGCTTGGTCGCTGGGTCATGCAATTTTCCAGTTCAAAAGCTTAAAACTAAATTAAACTTTATGACTTGCCACGCAGAAAACAGCCAGAGCAACAGGATTTGCGGCAACTACAAAAAGGATTACCACATGCCATATGAAGAAAAATGTGCGGATTCCCGTTATTGTTATACCCAACTTCTATGAGAAGTTTTCACTGCTGAGCATATCCGATCTAAAATAAAAATTTTAATACAGAAAAACTTTAATAATATTAATATATTGACGATCGTTTGACATATGAATTATAAATATATTCACATTTATATATATAAATAACATAAGTTCTTATTGTTTTCAAATAAAACCCTAAGAAAAACTTGACAAAAATGATATGATATGGTGTTTGATTTTGTTTCCCACTTAAGCCAAATAATTTGAAAAATTTATGAATTTTTGAAATTGCTATAAAAATATAGAGTATATGTTTATTAACAAAACCGTAACACCTAAACTTTCCTCATGATGGTACCATTAAAAATGGACCAAAGCTATTCCTAATATCTGGCAAACATAAGAAAAATGAAAATATGTAAGAAGTGCTTCAGACCACATAAAGCTGTTGAAGGGGTATCTGTCTAGTTTGATTCACATTTATGCAAAGAGAAATTACTTGTTTCGCTTGGTCTCTCGTACTGACCAAATCGGATTATCTGGTCAAGCCAAAGAGGCGAACAAACAAATAAATGTAATGAGTTTAAGTGGCAATGACAAAAATTGTCAGACATTTTATTGAGCAAATATTAAAAATATTACGAATCGCTAGCCATTAGAAGCAGCCGTTGCCAAGGCCCTGCAAGCTGCCATCTAACAAGAACAAGCACAAACACAGTTAAGGATACAAATACAGATGCAGACACACAGATACGAGTAAGAGCAACCACTTAATGCTGATATGTATGAATGTGGCAAGCGAGAGGGAAAAAAAGCAATGAGGGGAAAGGCATCTACTCACACTTACATGCACACTCACACACATACAGCGAGATAGCAAATTTAATGTAATAGCCAAAAGAACCGAGAACCAACAAACCAACGCGTACAAACATTTGTGCTGCTGCTTGCTATCCTTGCAGCTCCTTTCTCCTATCCTCGCTCTATGCTCATCCTCTTTTTGCTGGACATGTGTTTCCAATGGTTTTTGCGCCAACAGCTCTGCCATTTAAAAACGCACAAAAGTTGGCGTCGGGCAAGCACAAAAAAAAAACAAACAAACTTTTCAGAAGAAAAACCCAGTTGGCATTGCAGTTGCAGCGTTTATTTGATTTTTACACACCGATTTTGAGCTATTCTTTTATTAGATTTCGCTTGGCGCTGGCAATTTCGTTGCATTTTCTTATTTTTTTTTATGTTTTTCTGCCATTTTTCTTTTTCTTTACCATGTCGGTTGTTGCCAGTTGTGAATTTGTGAGATTTGATTTTGAAATTGGCCGGACGAAAAGTCAGTGATAAAAGACGCATGGGCAAGGGGTAAGACAAGATGTTAAGCTGAAAGCGCGCGATAGAAGGGAAGGCTGCCATAGGAGATGGAGTGCATAAGATAAGCAAAGATATTATGGCTGTGGAGATATACTGGGCTTGGAATTTATTTAACTACATAGCTTCAACTTCAACGTGAAAAAAGTTTTTATGCATACCGATATGGCCTTCTTTCAATTCAGCTCTAACCTACGCGACGGATGGTGACCAAATTTCATGTAGTCCAACAATTTCATAAAGAGGGTGAAGAAAAATATATGAAACACGCTTTAACGCCTTTGTTAACTTTCTTTTTTTTTTATTCATTTTATTTATTATTATTGCCTTTCGTTCCTTATAATCACAAACCAAACAAATTTTAAACTAGACATTTTTTGCTAGAATTGAACCGATGACCTCTCTCTTTTTAGGCCGATGCTTAATCTTAACCATACCATACAGTCTCATGACTGCAAGTTTTTGTGGTTTTTATACAAGCTTTGACCAGCAATATTTCCACTTGCGGGTCGAATTTAGTAAAACCTCGTGCAAATGCTCACTTTTGAATCAACAAAATTTCATTTGATACGTTCCTGGAAAAAGTTCACGTTTCTGGATGGCTAATGCGGATAAAAGGTTTAATCAACGAAAGTTTATTTTTAGGCTTCAAGATTCTCACCACACTACTTACATGGGCGAAAACCATTGGTTTCAACGTTTGGTTCTTTATTCGATAGTCTTTAAAATTATTTTTAAATGTCTATGTAAGATATTACTTTAGACTACCCAAGATAGTGTGGGTAGAAGCACAAATATTGATACGTGTAATACCGGGAAACATCCGCTAGTTGGTTATAAGCATATATACACATATTTTTAAAGTCTACTCAGATTTTCTTGAGCTTCTTGCGTTGATTATTGGAATTCCAATTACCTTAGCAACACTATTTAGCACTTAAAGCACAATATGAAGCCCCCCACCAAGGCAAAATCGACCAGCTGCCAGCAATTGCAATTTAAAGCCATTAAACTAATAAATAATACGCCACAATTTAGCACATTGCCATCGATTTAGTACAGCGCCAGAGCGACAGCAGCAGATGCCGACGCCAGCATCAAGGCTTCAGATGCGTCCACTTAGAGCCAGCGCCCAACTCTTCTGCACGGCACGATATGCCACGCCTCCATGTGCTTTTATACCCTGTACTCAAAAGGTGAGTGGGCAACTGGTTTCAACAAGTGCTGCCTTAATGCATATTTCATTTCGATATACAATAACAGCTTAAATACTAATCTTCGGGCAGATTTATATATATTCCTGATCTCTGAGACTTTAAGGACTACTGTTGAAAAATGTTGTGTGTGAACTCTCATGTGTGTGACAAACATGCAAAAACTGAAATATAAATTGATTTTTTTTTGTTTAAGATCTAAAAGCACATTTATATTTGCGGGGTATTCGCTGTGTTAAGCACGCCCGCTTGCAATATTCATTTTATAGATGTTCACGCTTTGTGTTGAAGCTGTGACAGAGGGCTAGAAAAAAATTCATATGCTGGTATTGCTGCTGCTTTCAATTGCTTCTGGCACACGACTTTGCCGACGTTGCCATCGATGGCTGCTTTCAATATCTAATAATATTGAGCATACGCGCTGTGCGCTTCAGTCAGAAGTTCCTCGGATGATGCCGTTGCTGCTGCTTCACTTACACTGAGTGCGTGTTGGCGCAATAATCAACAGTTATATTATGAATGCACAAACATAGCACACACACATGCATACGGACATACTTGCACTTGCGATGTGTTCATAATGCGCATTTTAACCCCTTTTCGTCTTTGGCGGTGGCAAGGAGGGCGGTCTGTACCATTTCATCCACCCATATGACACTCCATCTAAGTGATACGATAAATTTGGGATTTTCTTTGCATTATGCGCAGATTTTGTTGGTAGATGGTTTCTCTACCCACAGAGCTTTTTGCACACTGGCAGCTTGAAACTTTTTTAATAATAAATAAAAGTGCTTAACTTAATTCGAGCTGTTCAAAACGTTCTACCAATTTACCCCCAAGCCTCCTCTGAGCGTATGTGTGTGTGTGTGTCTGTGCTATGGATTTTCTGCTTGTATTTGCCCATTTTATTTGTTTCTTTGATTTACCCCCACACAGACACATATATGCACAGCTTGTGCTTGTGAGTGTGTGTGTGTGTGTGTGTGGATATAATTTTTCGATTATTGTTGAGTTTTGGCTTATTTTTACCCCTCGCATTTTGTGGCATTTGCGGCTGTTTACCTCGCCAGCGGCTAAAATGCAATTTATGTGCGTTGGCCAAGTGTTGAGCATTCGGATTTTTGTTTTTTTCTCACTGCTTGTTTGTTTTTTGTTTTTATGCTTGGGTTCAGGTTTCATTTTATGCCCCTCCAATGTTATTGCCACTTGTCATTTGCGTGATTTACGCTTATCGCTGGAGCCAAGTGTGTAATTTGCGCTGCTTGTCAGCTTATCGAAATTATGGTTGATACTCGATGACATGCCCCTTATTTAACAGCAGATTCCCAGATGGCATTCGGAAATTTCTGTACCCCAATAAGAATAGGAAACATTTATAACAAAGCCGAATGTAAATCAATGTGAAAAAGTAATTTAAAAAATATGTCAGATGAAATTATATTTAAATATTCTGGCCTATTACGAGTTGTTTTAATGCAAAAACGTTATATTTTGGAAAGCTTGAAACGCAATTAAAATGTTAGTCAAATGTAGTGAAGACAGCAATTTACAACTTACGTAGGGCAGGTCGATTATATTACAATTTCTTATTCAAATAAAAATTTTTCAGCCTGCTACTCACACAAAAACACATGCACCGTGCATGCATATATGGGAAGGCATCGACTTGAAATTCTCCTAAGTGCAAACAATGCAAATGACAAACTCACATTTTATGTTCAAAATTCGAGTCAGCAGCTGAGAAATATTCGTAAGTCAAATTGAAATTCATGTGTGACATTTGCTGCATATAAATGGGGGCGTGTTTGTATATGTTTGTGAGTCTGTGATAAAATCAATTGGAATTTGAGAAGAATTGTGCTCCATAATTTTGAGAACAACTCAGTACAACTTGCAGCTTGACAAACTGTTTACCAGTGATGCGACTGTGTCGCATTCTTACAAGGCAAATGAAAATAAAATGAAACTCACATAAAACAATGCAATATACTTTATTAATTATATATATAAGTTATATAAGCAATGATTTGTCATATTCTTTCATGTTTATTTATTCATTTTTTTCTAAATTATTGTGAATAAAAGCCAAAATAAAAATAGCCGCACTTTCTATTGAATAGCAAAAGTGATTGAAACAACCTTTTAGAAATATTTATCAAAGAGATTTTTGATAAATTTTCCCATAAGAAGAAATAAACTAAACTAAAACTAAACTAAACTATCTCATATTTATTGTACATGCATATTTGTTGTTGTTTATACACAAGTTATACTTTATTTTTCCATATTTCCATTTCGTTTATTGTTTTCGTGTTATCATGCTCTAGTGCAGGACATTCGTTAATCTTTTGTCGTTACCAAGCGGCTGCTGCTGTTGCTACTGTCTCCACGTACCCCTTATCCTAACATAATGAGTTAATAATTAAACATTTGCGGTATAGGCAGTACTAATTTCAATGATTTATTAAAGTAATTCCATGGTCCATTCAAAATACGACTGTTAAATTACACTAATTTCAATGATTTCGGAAAGTAATCCCATGGTCCATTTAAAATACGACTGTTAAATTGTTGACATTGGACTTATGAAATATTTCCACTGAAACGGCTGCAACAACAGTTGCAGAGGTCTAGCTGCAAAAACTGGATGACAGAAATATATAGACATGAACATTTTACATTTGCTTACTGAACTTCTGCTGTGACATCGGTCCGACAACGAAGTGGATTTTTTTGTTGGTACTCTGGATTTTTTTTTCATCCGACTTTTTGACACTAATTAAAAGTTGCAAATCATTTTTTTTGCCAACTCAAACTCAGTCTCGCAAATGCTAATATGCTTTTGTATAGCCACCTGTTTTCCTCATTTCTCTCTGCTTCTCTCGCACTTTTTGGCATGGTAACAATGGGTATACATGTGAGTTTCACAGCTTTGCTCTGTCGCGTTGTTTATTGTCTATTTACCAGGTCGGTGTTCGAGTCGAGGTTGTGTACTATGCGACTGAGTTACTCACCAAACCGACAGCGAAACTTATTATTATTATTATTTATATGCATTGCTGCCAGTTTACATTTTAATTAATTTGATATATTTCATTTTAATTTCTTTTAGCTCCACAGACATAGTATACATGAGTGGTTCAATAAAAATGTGCATGAGTATGTTTAACAACAATCGAAAACTTTTAAAAAAAGATTAAGGATAAAATTCGTGCTAAATATATATAACCTTTTCAAAAAACAGAATAAGGAGACCAAGCTTGTGAAGTCATACCCGCTGCTGGATGGATGCCACCCTTTAGATGAAGATCCTGCAGTTCTTTTTTGAAAGATAGCTCCTCTTATTGCCCGTGCAAATCAGTAAAAAGTCCAATAAACAATTTTCCCTTTCAGGTGCATATTCTACTTCATCTAAGAAATCTTGTGTGTAAGCAAAGTTTCTTGGATACGCATAAAGCTAAACGAGTGGTATAGTGCCTTGTCTGAATTTATTCCAATAGAAGACATATTTCTTGATTTAAATTAAAGGTTAGTTTTCATATTCATATTCATATTCTAATGTCTTATTTAATCCATTCAGTTCACAAATTGATTATCATTTACGGTTAGATTTTAAAAATGTAAAATATATAAAAACGGACTCTCCCTTATATAAAAAAGAAAAATCAGATACATATTCCATTTGAAATTGAGATCGATCTCATCTATTTCAATTTCTCCTTCATTCGGTTGAGAGCGCTGCCAGCCTTAAACCACTCGATTTGATCTGCGTTGAAGGTGTGGTTGAGCTTTATCTTATCGGAGCCGCCTCCGTTCTTGATCTCGCAATCGATGGGCTTGCCGGGAGCCATATCTTTTAGATTGAGCAGCGACAATTTGCTGGTAGGCTGGACCTTGTCGTAGTCGCTGGGATTGGCAAAGGTCAGCGCTAGCAGACCCTGCTTTTTTAGATTAGTCTCGTGGATCCGGGCAAAGGACTTGACTATGATGGCAACTCCACCCAGATGGCGTGGCTCGAGGGCGGCATGCTCGCGAGAGGAGCCCTCGCCGTAGTTGTCCTCGCCGACGGCGACCCACTTGACATTGTTGGCCTTATAGTCACGGGCCACCTCGGGAACTGCACCCCAGTTGTTGCTGCGCTGGTTCTTAATCTTGTTCATTTCGTTGTTCTCAGCATTGATGGCGCCTATGAACATGTTGTTGGAGATGTTGTCCAAGTGGCCGCGATATTTCAGCCAGGGGCCGGCGGCTGAGATATGATCGGTAGTACATTTACCCTTGACTTTGATAAGAACGGTGAGATCTGTGAGATCTTTGCCGTCCCACTTCGGGAAGGGCTCCAGAAGTTGCAGGCGCTTCGATTTTGGATCCACAGCAACTTTTACTTTGCTGCCATCTGGCGGGGGAGCTGAGTAAGTGTCCTGTCCGGGATCGAACCCTTTGGCGGGTAGCTCCTCACCAGTGGGTGCTTTGAGCTTAAATTTTTTTCCTTTGGAGTCAGTCAGCTCGTCCTTCAGGGGATTGAAGTCCAGGCATCCTACAATGGAGAGCGCGGTGACAATCTCAGGACTGGTCACAAAACAATGAGTCGCTGGATTGGCATCGTTGCGGCCGGTAAAGTTGCGATTGTACGAGGTGACTATGGTGTTCTTTTCCCCTTTCTTCACGTCCTTGCGATCCCACTGTCCGATGCAGGGCCCGCACGCATTGGCCAGAACCGTCGCGCCAAACTTATTGAACGTCTCGATCATCCCATCACGCTCTATGGTGGCGCGGATCTGCTCCGATCCGGGCGTCACATTAAATGGTATTTTGGCCGTCAGACCATGGCTTAGGGCGTCTTTGGCAATGCTGGCACAGCGGCCCATGTCCTCGTACGAGGAGTTGGTGCAGGAGCCAATCAGACCCACCTTGATCTCAATGGGGTAGCCGTTCTTCTTAGAGTTTTCACCCAGCTTGGCTATAGGGTGCGCCAGGTCAGGAGTGTATGGTCCATTCACCAGCGGCTCCAGCTTGTCTAGGTTTATCTCAATCAGCTTGTCATACTTGCAGTCTTTGTCGGGTGTCAGTAGCTTCTTCTGATACTTTACTGCCTCTGCGGCAATTTCGCCCCTTCCCGTGGCGCACAGATATTGTATCATGCGTTTGTTGAGGGGAAAGAGCGACGTAGTCGCACCGATTTCGGCGCCCATGTTGCAAATGGTGGCCTGGCCCGTGCAGGAAATAGATTCTACTCCCGGGCCATGATACTCGATGATGGCGCCAGTGCCACCTTTAACGGTCAGGATCTCGGCTACCCTCAGAATAACGTCTTTGGCAGCGGTCCAACCACTTATTTTGCCAGTAAGATGGACGCCGATTACATTAGGGCATTTGAGCTCCCAGGGCATGTTTGCCATCACGTCGACAGCATCGGCCCCTCCCACACCAATGCAGAGGCCGCCCAACCCGCCTCCGTTGGGCGTGTGCGAGTCGGTGCCAATCATGAGGAGCCCGGGAAAAGCGTAGTTCTCCAGTATGATTTGGTGAATGATGCCGCTGCCTGGCTTCCAGAATCCCAGGCCGTACTTACCGCTGGCGGAGGCCAGGAAGCCATACACCTCCTTGTTCAGATCCTTGGCACGCTTCAGATCCTGCTCGCCACAAATCTGTGCCTCGATCAAGTGGTCGCAGTGCACAGTCGACGGGACAGCCACCTTGCTCAGGCCAGAAGAAATAAACTGCAGGAGCGCCATCTGAGCGGTGGCATCCTGCATGGCCACACGGTCCGGACGCAGCAGCAGGTATGACTCCCCGCGCTTGATATCCTGATCCCCTGGATAGTCCAGATGGGAGTAGAGCACCTTCTCCGACAAGGTAAGAGGCCTTTTTAGGCGACTCGCTACACAGTCCAACTTCTCGCTTAGCAGCTTATAGGGCAAGGTTTGGCCAGTTTCGAACTTGGACATGGCCACGCCGGAGGACTTTGAGCTCATAGAAACGTTCCACTGACTCATCAAGGGCTTGACGGCCCTTCTGCAAAGTCTGCGCAGCCTCTCTGCTGTCTGTGCAATCATCTTCTTGGACATAATCGATTCTCTTGAAATATTATCGTTAATGTATAACTAAAACATGCAAAAATTTTGTCGCAATGATAAAATGTAAAAACTTATTTTTTGTGTCTTTGGATGAAGTTTTTCTTAAAATGATTTATAGTATGAAATCATTTGCTCTCCAGTTTTTGAAAACTTTTGCAAAGGGATCTATTCTACATTTTCCCCGAGAATGAGATTGTTGCTTAAAGTTGATATTTCATATACCTTAATTTTTATCTAATTAATGATGTACAATATTGTAATATTATAATATTGTATTTTGCTTGAACGAGGAACTATTACCAAATCAGCTGTCATATTACAGGTGAAAACAAGCTCATTGAAAGGCCATTAAGGGCCATGTGCCATTAATCGAACTCAAATTTCCTACAGCTCTTCACTGAGAACACATGTGCCTAAAATGCATACTTATGTGTTGACCGGGGCGATATTCTGTGCATATTTGAAAAAATACTATGAAGAACACAAGGCACAAGGGGCATGGTGATGGCAGGGTCGGAGAGAGGATAGTTGTTTGAGTGAGGCACCCATGTCAACGGGACTGATGTTGCAACAAAGTGAGTCAAGCGATTCACATGAAACTATGCGACTCGAAAGCTGACGTGAGTCATTCCTGCCATAGGCTAACTGACGTGCAACTACAATGCAAGTGGCAAACAGAAGGACAGCACGTCATTTACTTGAGTGGGGCAGGGGAATGTTGCAGAGACCAAAGTGTCAACTGCAAGTGAGGCGCACGACGAGCAACGTAGCTGCATCCTGTGATTTTGTTTGCCACAGTGCGCCGAGTGTCAGCGGGACACACTGCAGACACTGGCCACACTGGACAAACTGGACAATAGTCAGTCAGACCGGTAGTTGGCAGAACCACTTTCAATTGAAATCGACGTGCCTGTTTGCCACAAAACCGTTGATGATGGCTAGGTCGGTCACTGGATCGGTGGGGCACAGTCCGCACTGGACAGTGGGGTGGGGGAAGGGGCCAGCAGGGCAGCGGCCGAAACAATGCGAAAAATTGATTGGCTTGACACAAGCTCACCCACAAAGCTTTTCCATATGGTGAACTAAGCGCCCAACTTGGCACAACGTTGACTATGATTTTCTATAATTGATGGATTTCATTTTGCGCCCAAAACCTGAACACTCGCTACTGAACGTTTGAACGTTGACCAATTGGGTTGTTCAACATTTTGGCTAAGTTCCTTGAAAAGCAATCAGAATTTTGCTTGGTTTCGTGTGATAAAGTGGAAGATACTCTGTGCTTATATTTGAAACTATCGGTTATTGCCCGGCCTTGTCCGTGGAACGTTTTGTTCTAAAAATTTATTAAATTAAATATTTAAATATTATCTTTCCCTAAGTATACGCCCGTGAAAAATTTAAATCTATCCACCTCGATCTACACATCGATTTAAAAATATGTTTTAGGCGCATCGAACCGTTGGAATCAACGGTTTCCGCCCATGTTAGTCGATCACATAAGATAACTACAGTGAAAACTTCAGCTTAGTAGCTCTTACGGCTCGTCGCAGGTCCCTTTTATATGTACGTTATATACAACACACACTCCTTGACCCTTTTACAGGGTATAAAATGTCAAGGCTGCACAAACTGAACTTAGAAATTGTTATCCAATTGCTGTCATACATCTATTGTGAACATTTACCTATTAGATTTGCCGAATGAAGAATATGCAATTATCCTAAATATGTTTGCTACGTTTTTCATCCGTCGATGGCCTTCTGAATGGAATGGAAGTGTCAGGCGTGCGTTTCTATGCGCTTCGCATGCTCTTAAATTATTGCATTTAAGAACTTTTGCCATAAATAATGGAAAACTTATTGCCAGCGATTGAACTTACGATAAAGTCTGAAGAAAAATAAAATAATATAAAAGTTAGCAGCAGTAAAAAACACCTATGCGTGAGTATTACTTGGTAAGTGCGGTACAGTAGAGGTATTGAGCACATGAAAACGTTTTAACGATAATGTTAGACTAACAAATAAATTTAATCAACGTAAATTTTATTTGCATGTTTTACGATATTTTAATAAATACCGAAAATACGTTGCTGTTCATTTAGCGTTCTGTTAGCTATAAAGCGCAATACGATGTTTATTTATTTATTTTTTTTTTTTTTATTTATTTATTTATTAATGGTCGACAAACGAGTGCCTTCCTAATTATTCAATACATTATACATACATATGAGAATTAAATGCTAAAAGCCTAGTTAAAATACACAATTTTCTAATAGCATCACCGATGGAGGTGTTTTATTTGTCGTCAGGTTCTTGTCATTGTAAGTTTTTAGTTGGGCTACTTGTTGTCTGATTGGGCGCATTGTAAATGCAGCTGCAGCGGCAAAATGCCTGAAAATTGTTGAGAAAATTTATGTACTGCCCCCAGTTAAGTGTGGTGTCGGTGTCTGTGGCCAAAGTTGCAACAAAACTGAAACTTTGGATTAAAAAAAAAATGTTAATCCTCATTTTTGCAGCTGGCAGCGAACAATACGTTTGTTTTTGCTGCCAGTGCGCCATGGCTGCAGCCTCAGCACAGCTTGCGGTAAAACTTTTCAATAATATTCCCAAAAGTCCAGCCCAGACGTCGACAACGACGACATAGTCGACGACGACGATGATGACGGTGGAAACGAAAAGGTTGAGCAGGGCGATAAGAGACAACGAACGGCAACGGAAGTGCCGCCATAGTTGGACACATAGCATAGTTTTCGGCGCTCGGGCAGCCATATTGCAACAATGCCCAGAAAGAACAGAATGGACACATATTTATATGTATTCTGAAAGTCGATTTCTCGCCCAATTCACAGCTAATTAAATTCTGTTCAACTCAATAGAATTAAGAACAGCAGCGAATGCATAAACGAATAAATCTGTGAAAAGTATAAAGGAACTTAAGCGAGAGAATAGATTTAAAGTTTGAAATGTGTTTTGGCAAAAATGTTTTTACTTATTTTTTGCTCGTTTCTGCTGCATTCAAAATATATACCTTAGAAATAGTAAATTTTGCCAATTAAAACATAAACGTACATGTTGCATACATCTCATGCATGGTTAATTGCCCGCTTAAGAGTTTTATGTTTGAGGTTTACTAAATTTAACTTTTCAAAAATGTTCTTTATCTTGTAAGGTTGAAGAAGTTTTTAACACAAAAGAGTCATATCCTTGAACTCCTGTTGCAAATTAATTTTTTTTTTTAGTTCGTAAAGAATTTAAATTAGAAAACTTAGAAAATTTGATAATATAAAATATAGCTGAATTATTTACATTATAGGGAGAAATGTTCAAAATATGTAATAGTTTTTGTAATTTAAATTTATTTACTGGCCACATTTTTTTAGTTTTATACGTTGCAAATTCAAGTTTAAATCTACTTGAACGGTTTTCAACAAAGCGTTCTAATTCTCCCTGAAAAATTGTATAGATAACGGTTTGCGGAACTTATGGATTTGACCAGGACCAGGACCAGGACCTCGGCACAGGACACAGGATAGCCACCCACGAGTTCAGCTTTGTTTTAGTGCGCCCGGCAGACAAATTCAGCATTTCCCGCACACGTGGCTTTGGCGATTTCCTTTTGTGCAAACATATTTTACCGCAATTGCGGCACATGAGTTTTAGCTCAATTGAGGCGTAAGTAACTGAGCAGCCTGCTGCCCCCAGGCCACGTTCAGCCAGCTACACCCAAGCCACGCCCAGCCAGCTGCATCACCATAATGAAACTGAGCCGCCTCCTTCCGCCTTTTGTGTGTATAAATATGATTTTTTTAACAGTGCGTCTAACTACGAGCCATAACTCGGCCATAGATTGAACATTGGCTCCCCATTCAATTCAGCTTGTTTTACATTTTTTTTTTATTTTTTTCGTTTCTGTTTTATTATTGCATTCACTTAGCTCTTTTTATTCTCACTTACTGCCCTCGCTGCGCTCCGATGACGTTGCATTAAGGCCAGTTGGTGGTCAACCGGTGCACCTGGAGCATATCTTCCTGGCAGGCCACCTGCTGCTGGGCTGCTGCATGCAGCGACGCTTTTGTGCGCATTGTTTCCGTCAATGTACGCATTTGTGCGGGTCAGTTGGGCACAAAGAAAGCAGAGACTGGACCGAGTCCAGGCCAGCTGAGAGGCTCGACCTGTACCTATGCCCCGGACACGGGCAGTGCCTCCTGTCGCTGTTGTGACTGGACCCGTTGGGCGTAAATAATTAGATTTAATTGGTAGATTTCCGTTCCGTTTTGGCCACACGACTCCGCATGCACGTTTACTACGCAAAACTTTGTTGTATAATCGCTTCGTTTAGTGGCATTGCGCTGCATGAAAATTATAAGCTCCTCCATGCTGATCTATGCGCATTAAAGCAGGTTGTAAAGTAGAGGCTTAAGAGTTCTTTGGGCACTTTAGCTAGCGATTTACTTCTGTTTGTTGTGCTGCAGCTACCCAGTCGAATGCTCTTCCATTTCGTTACTTACTTTCCAACGTAAATAACCTTTTAGCGAGGGGCACTTAAAAATACGCAAATTTATTGCTCATCTTTCATTTGCCTTCGACTCAAGCCACGAGGGAGGCAGCCTGGCTGCTTGTGCAGAGGCGCCTTCTGTCCATCAGGGCAGCGATAAACTCTTCGTTTTTATGACACTATCATAATATGTACACAATAATTATGCCCCGGATGGATTATAACGTGAACTTGGCGCAGTGGAAATGCCAAAAACGAACGAGCGGAAAAAATTCTCGGACTGTGCCATTGAACTCCCACAGCTGAGGCCGTTACCAGAGCAGACCAGGACGCACTCGAGCGCAACAAAATGGACATGAAACAAAGACCAAGAAGCTGTGGGTTGAATATTGAGCTTAGGCAAATACTTGCTTAAAGCCAACTAAATGTCTGTTGTTGCTACTTCCTCTCGACTCTTGATCTCTTTTCCCCTCTCGTTTTACCATCAACACCCCAAATATGGTTTTATAACATACCTGTGGGCGCGTCGCCCTTTCCGCACTTGATTAAGGCGCACACGTATGTCTGTTACATACTCACGGGCTGTGTGCAGATGTGTTCATAACACACACTCACATACAGAAATAGATACAGATGTCGGTGCAAACACTTTAATTTCCTGTCAATGTTGCAATAAATGTTGCAAAAGCAGTCTTCTAATCTGCAACGAAAAACTTGGCTAGCAGGGTATAATGGAGTTATATATATGAATATACATACTAAAGAGATGAACATTTCGCTGACCTCATCAGATATATAGATTCCCGTTTATTAAAACAAAAAATTCGAGCGGGGGCATAACACTTAAATCTTTGGATTAATATCGATTGGGATACAGAAATTAATTGTAAGGCAGCTTAATGGAACAATAATGTTTAAAAGTAATTTATTAATTGAAAAACTCTTTGGAATAATAAGAAGGTAAACATAGATAAAAATGTTAGAAGTGTATACAAATTTTAAATATAAATAGCATAAATATAGACAAATTTAATTTAAAATGAGCTCTTCAAAAAGTAAATAATAATTGAACAAAATGTGTATGTATTATTTGGTTTTTATAAAGCAAGGGTATTTTTATTGCGTTAAAATATATATGATTTTGCTTACTCTGTAACAGCCTAGAATCTCGTCAACGCCAAATGCCATTCGCTTGGTCTTGGATATTTTTGTGGAAACCGGAAATTGTGCTTATGCAATTGTCATTGCCGTGCACGGGCACTCTTCCATATCCGTTCAATGGCAGCGCTGCTTCAAAACTGTCAATGCTTCGAAAGCAAAAAAAAAGGAGAAAATGTCGCATATTACCAACTGAAAGAAGTCAAGCTCTTTTATTCATTTTATTCATTTTATTCATTTTATTCAAAATCCATAACTGCATAGTCCAAGAATTTAACTACAATAGTAAAAAACTGATTTGTTTTAAAAAATTTTTTATATCTTTGGCATATTATATATTATTAAGGGATTGACTTGACAGACAAACAAATACATCTTTATATAAAACTGGTTTTCGTTACTGACTGACTGACTGATTAGTGATCAACGCACAACCGAAACCTTTAAAACTAGGAAGCTGAAATTTACTGTGTTTATCATCTCTATACCTCATTTTATGGCCTATTTCACAATTCTTTATTTTTTTCATACCTTATTTTCTTCATCTTTTCTATCTTATTTACAAAATAAAATAATAAAGTTACAAAAGATTATTTAAATTTTAATTTAGCTGCGCAAAGGGACATAGCTTGCAAGACGGGCGAAGAAAATACCTCCATGATGATATTATATATATTTGTATTCTGATTAGGCTTTTAGTTTTAATTTTGCCATTCTAATGTATTT